TCCTTTGGGGAGGCCTGGCCTGTGGCTTGACTTCATACTTGTTGAAATGTTCCCGATGACTAAAACTGATTTTTCTCTTGACTTTAAGCCCACTGGTTTTATATTTTTATTTTTTTAATCAGTTTATTGTCTTATATTTTTATTAAGAAGTTTATTGTCTTACGACACGTAAGTAATAGTCATAGGGGAGTTGCAAATGGAAAATTTCCTTTAAAACTACTGCTCCTCCTCAGGCAGAAAAAGCTGCTTTGGTTAAGGTCTGTATCTACAATAAGACCTGCAAGTTATTAGTTGGATTTCATATCCCAGGGGCACCGTGCAGTCAGAACAGTTGTGATTCAGGGGTTTTATTAGCATGAGTAATCCTGTGAACTCCACATGACCTGATGCACGAGCACTGGACAGTGCTGAATCAAAGTATGGGGTGTTAGGGTGGAATTCCAGGTGGATTGCTGAGCAGAGTACCAGGCAGAGACTGAGTCTTGCAGTCCTTTTTAGAAGTTGTAGGTGGTGAAGGGCTGTGATAGCACCCAGATATTAATACAAATGGTGTGTGTCACTGACTGGAGCGTTCTGGGAAGTTTTTTCTTGTAAAAGCAAAGCGGTAGAAGTGGTGTTTGAGGAACTGGTGTTTGAGTCTCGGCTGTTAATGATATCACTGAGCTCCTTCTGTGCTTCTGTTACATTATCCAGCTTTCCTAGCAGACTGTGTCCCGATTCCTGAGCCTGGTCCTCCCGCTGTGTGCCCTCAGGGAACGCTGTCCTGATATCTGCAGACCGTTTTCAAATTCTCAGGAATATTTGTCTTTGCTGCTGAAGGTCACTGGGTCCCTTCCCTTTCTGCTCTGTACCAAGAGGATTCGTTTCACTTCTGAGAAATCTGTGGAGAGGACATGAGAGGACTTGCTGCTTCTGGACCAGAGTGAAATCTTCTCTGAGTATCTTGGAATCGGTGATTAATTTAAGCAAACAAAGGCTGTAGTACAAGTGCTTTTTGTATACACCATCAGCAAACTTGCAGGTAGCTTGAGTTTCTGTACCAGATATGTGTATGACTGGTTTAAGCATTAAAATAAGTTAGGTGCTAATATACTTGGAAAAAACATGTATGCCGTGTTGAGTTTCATAAAGTTAGCTGGGAAAGTAATTTTTACAATCAAAAAATTACACTGAAAAGCTTAAAATACGGAGGTGGAAGAGTGTTTCCCAAAAAGCCAGAGTACCTGCTTCTGCAAAGTAATGGGCTGTTCATCCAAGGTTGTAGTCTGCAGGTGAGTGGGCCAGCTGGAAAAGCCTGGGATGAAGTGTTTTGTGTTTGGCCTTGCTAGCCAGCCATATGTACCAATTCAAGGAAAAGGAAAAAGCTCCAGCTTCTTAAAAACAACAGAAAAAAAAACCCAAACAAACCAACAAAACAATGTCAATTTGCATGTGAGGGCTGCAATGGGACTTGAGCATGTGCCTACTTTGGGCTCTGAAGGTTTCTTACTCAGGACAGTTGTTACCAGCTGAATTTATCTCAGAATTTCCTCCTTTGCTTTGTCTTCCAGATATTGGAGAGACTGAAATGATGGAAGGGGACTCTGTGCTTGTCATTCTTGGGAAAAGAATTCTGGTGTCAATTTATTCCCCTCAAAATACTCGTCTAAAAATGGGTGCATGAGCTGTGTCACGTTGCTCCTCCTCTGAGTGGAATCTGCTGCTGGTCCACCCTGTTTCCTGTAGTTTGTTTTTCTGCACGAAGTGGAAAACTTTGTCCTTGTTTTGGGAAGTACCCTGGTGTAGTTAGGAACTAAAATTAATGTTGTGTATTTCTGTACACGTTTCAGACAGGCCTTTGGTGCTGCGAGAGGCGTTTCAAGCTGTGTTTACAGGCCACACACTTGCACTTCATGGGGATGCTTGGAGGGTGTGGGAGCTGTGCTGGGTGTATTGGAGGTGCTGGGAGATGAGGGAACTAAGGATGCTGGGCAGGCTGCTGGTTGACAAAGAGGGAAATATCTTAACTCTTCTGCTACTGCGCTTTGAAAAGACACCTCATTAGCAGTTACAGAATTTGGAGTTCTCAAGTTTATCTTATTCATGGATATAATTTTAGATCCATGGGTTGTTTGGAAGTGTGGGTAGTTCACCCCTTCTTAAAGGCACTTCCAGTTATGTTTTGTTCTTTCCTTTATATTCGGGTCAAGGTGTTTTCTGTTGTTATTAATACAGCACCTAGAGATCATAATTGGGGGCAAGAGAATCCTTGTGCAAAAGCAGTAATTCGTGCTTTTGAAATGTGAGGCTTTCCTAGGATTGAGGAAACTGTTGGAAAACCCTGTGTGTTTGCTCTAGTAGTGTCACTTGTCACAGCATTATCCAGGGCCCAGTCTCTGAGCAGTCCTGGTGTATCATTCCTTGTTCGTAGGCAGCATCATCCTGCTCTCTGCTTCCTGGCCTGGCTCTTCCCATACTCTCCACCATCATCTCCTGAAACTCTGTGATGATGCCCCAGCCCCTAAAAGTACTGGGTTACTGTACTATTTAGCATAGGGAAGGAATAGAGAATCCTTGAAACACTGTGGTGAGATGGCAGCGGGGCCAAAACTCCGGCAGTAAGTGCCCACTCCGTGGAGAGGGCTTGTTGTGGCTGGAATATTCCAGAGCTTGGGTTTGAAGGGAGAGGAGAGCAGAAATACAGCGAACTGCTCCGAGCAGAATTGCTTCACTGCTTCAAGAACACCTTGTGGTTCTCGGAGCAGTTCTCCAGCGTTTCCCTCTTGCTGTGGGCACTGCTGGCCTGGGCAAACTGCAGCTGGCCAGGTGCATTTCCCACAAGGAATTTCAGAGTCATTTTGCATTCTTCTGCCCGTGGTGTTACCTTGCTATATAGACATGTCCAATTGTGCTCTGTAATCCTCATTAGAGAATTTTTTTCCCCAGAGAATCTTTTAAATATTTTTCTCACCCTCATCTCTGATGCTGCATTTGCTCTCAAGAATTAATCCTGTATTTCTACCCCTTTGCAGGATTTCAGAAATGGGGCACAAGTGGTTTTTCCTCCAAGGCAGGGATTTTTCACTGGTGATTGTTGATTGGAGAGCTTTAATTTCTAGGTAGGCAGTTTGAGGGCTTGTCTGAACAAAATGCTGATCTCCCAAACCCTGAAAGTCTTGAGTCACTTGTCACTCCCCCAAATCACCACCAGTGTGATTAATGCTGTTTCCATTTGAGGTCTTCAGAATATGCAGAATCTCAAATGCTGCTTTAGAAGTATGAAGAGCAGAAATCAGGCTTCTAAGAGAAATTGTTTCTTGCTGTGTTAATTCAGTAGTTTGGTAATGGAAAGAACTTGCCCAAACTGACCTGCCTTGAACTTGAGGTTTTCTACTAATGGCACTTGACTCCCACAGTGCTCTGCATGTTTTAAACCATTTTTACTTCAGTCTTCACGTATCTAGAAAAGAGTTGTGATATTGAGGATTTGTGACCTTGCCAGGTTACCTCGGAGGGGTGGGATGTGTATCTGTTGTGTTTTACAATTTGAGATTTACTTGCCTCGCCACATATGCCTGTCCCAAATGGAAAAGGACATTATTACTTGGGGCTGAGCTCTAAGTATTGACATTTAACTTCCCATTTTAAATACCTTGAATATTAGAGCTGCACAGGCTTCATTAACGGCAGAGAAGTTCATTTGACTAGAGACGGATAAATTGCTTTCTCTGTCAGTTTGTTTTTATTGTTCTACAGCCAAATGGATTTTTCTGTTGGCTGAAGAATGCCAGACCTGAAATACTGCATTCTTTGCCCTGTCTGCAGGCCTGTAGTAAATACAGCACCTGTGGGTGAGGCCAGTCAGCTGAGAATGAATAATCATTTCATTCATTTGGCTTTTGTTTATACTTGACAGATATTTTTTTTAAAAAAACTAAGCACTGCAGAACCTTTTTCTGGTGCTCTTCAAGTAGCTGTTTAACAGCTCAATAGTACTGCCCTGCAATGAGAACAGCAGACAAAAATAACATTTTTTGGTAATGTTAGCTGTTAGCAGGAAGACTTCTGCTCATTTATTTTTTTCCTAATAAATGAGAAAATGAGTTACTGTATTTGTCATTAAGTCAGGTGCCTATGAATTCAGATTTTGGCAATATAACTTTTGCAGTATGCTTAACTTGGAAGCATTTCTACTGTGGATGTAACCACATGATAACATTTTCCATGAGTTGAAGCTGATTTCCAGCTCTCCCTGTATCCCACTGCTCTGAGAGGACAGCGGTGGCTCTTTGGGAATGTTCCTACACCCATAGGAGTGGGTGACACTCTGAGTAATTGAGACCTGATTTCAGCTGATGAGTCTCACTGGTTGCCCTCCTTTTCCATCTTTTTATTCCTTATACTCTCTCTGGTGGAATTCAACAGTGTTTGACTTACTAATGCCCAGGACTTTTTCAAGGATCTCGTGTGTCATCAGGTAGAACATACAGACAGAAGTAATGGACTCAGCTGTGTTAGCTTATCATGGAATGGTTTGGGTTGGAAAGGACCTTAAAGACCATCTCATTCCACCCCCCTGCCATGGGCAGGAATGCCATTCACTAGATCAGGTTGCCCAGGGCCCCATCCAGCCTGGCCTTGGACACTTCCAGGGATGGGGCATCCATGGCTTCTCTGAGCTTTGTCCTTTTTATAGGTGATCTAAAAAGCGTGGTCTGAGAGGGAACTTCCACACTCTGCCTGTGCCCTTGCAAGGTAAACAGTCCTTATGAAAGCCAAAGAACTTGGCATTTAACCCCTTTTCCTGGTTTTTTTATCTTGCAATGATATGGAACACAGGATGTGCACATCCTCACCCAGAGAGGCACCATGAGCATTGCCAGCCAGTGCTCCTCTAACTGCACTTTCCAACGGGGCCTTGTAGTCACTGCTCCTTACTGGTTATGGTATTTTTGTTTATAAATAAGGTACAAAACTTAAAATACTTTTTCTAAACGCTGCTATTTGTTTTTCCTTTGCAGAATAAGAGAGTGGGGGGGGCCGGGAGCACAGGACGATGCTGCTGAAAGGAATGTGAGCCACGGAGCATGTTTGGTGCCACAGTTACCCAGGTGGGCTCCTCTAATTGCACCTCTAAGGAACCACAGGCTGTGGTGCTTGCTGCTCCATCAGTGATCCTGACTCAAGGAGGCAGTCTCAGCACCAGGCCAAAATTCTGCCCTGCTTTCCTGGTTCCATACAAATGGCACTTGCAGTCTGAGACCTAAAACCTTTTACTTGTGTCTTAGTTTTATCCGATCGTTGGGTTGCAGCTGGTCTCTCTTTAGGTGTTACTCTGGTTTATATCATCAGGTAGCCCGAACATTTCATGCACAGAGAAGATGTGGTCTCAAGAGATGAGGTGCTGAACTACATATGTGACAGTAGTTTTGAGACTTGCTCCGGGCGACTCATCTACAGATCGTCTGCTGGGTTTCACAAGTCAAAAGCAGATGGGTAAAGGCTCCCATCACTGCTTTGCACACCAGTATTTAATGAACCAATATAGATTTTTCAGGATGTTTTGATAGGAAATGGGGAACTTTCTGATGTTTGGATGTTTCTTTTTTTTAATCTGCCATATATATAAAATTTTGGGGATGGATACTGAAAATCTTCACTTAGATGCTGCTCAGTTCTGTGCTGTCTAATTATATGCTTACGGTAAGGAAACATGTTCAGGAGGCAAAAATCTGTCTTATGTGGTGGAGTCTAGGATCCTTCAAAAGCAATTCCATGTCCTGGAAGCGATCACAGTCCAGCACCACTGGCTGTCTTGCAGCTCTGAGTAAATAAATAGAGAAATAACAATTATATGGCTGCAAAGTGTTGCTGTGGAATAGCAGCTAACTTTTCTACTAGCACCAGCTGGCAAGTGGGAGTGAAAAAAACAAAGCAAACAGCTCAGAAAAGTAGGAGGAACAACAGTTCTAGCCTAAAAACTGACACATTGGGAGCCCAGCATGAAGAATAACAAACTCCTGTCACAGGATGTTTTGCATAGCAACAGGACTCTTGTCTTCAAGTGGACTTTAGTGTAACTGCAGCACTTGCTTCCTGTGTGAGATAAAGACCTGTTGTGCTCTGAATGCCTTGTAATCTCTATATCTAAATGGGACTAATAATTAAAAAGAATTAGCTGAGGGAAGCGATAGTGGAGCCTATTGCTCCTGAAAGTGTTTCCTCTTATTTGGCCGTCAGAGAAGCGAGAACAGAGACTCGTGGAAAGGAAGCAGATGAAAGATGAACTTTCTCCCCAGGTGCTGAATGCTGCCTGCAGACTGCTTTGTCCATGAGGGAAGAAACTGAGTGGGAACTGAGAGCACGACTGAGTCCATAACACACTTCAAACATGCGCAAAGGGGTGCCAAAGGACCCAGAAATAGCTGACCTGTTCTACAAAGATGATCCGGAGGAAATATTCGTGGGTTTGCACGAAATCGGACATGGAAGTTTTGGAGCAGTTTACTTTGTGAGTATGGTTCTCTCCTTTTTGGGAAACTGAGTTGCTTTAAGTGGTGTTTTGGAGATTTTCAGCATTTGTAGAAATTAGCATCCTTTGAGCTCCTTAGTGCTTTGTGTGTGGTAATTTTCTGATAACACATCTCAAAATAAGTGCTTCCAGAGCACTCCTGAGCTCTTTACAGTAGCTCTTTCTACTAACACTTCACTATAGTCTTATTAGAGCACCCAACCATACAGGTCAAGTATATGGTGTTTTGTGCTGTTTGAAAATTGAATTTAAACAGTTGGAAATTAATTTGCCAGACCTGGAATTTCAAGATGCTCTACTTGGAGTTCATATGCTTGTAAATCACTGCAAATTAATAGCTCTAATGTCTTCAGTAGGAAATTCTTACATGACAAGAGCAAAGAGAAAGTCCTAAGAGGAATGGGAATTCAAGTGGGAATAATTTATGGCATTAATTGATACAGTCAAGAGAATTTCATTCAGGAAGTGAGAAGAGTAGTGCTTTTACAGTTGATATCAAACAAAGCCAAATCCAAAATACTGGGTTTGGAAATCATTTGTAATCCAGTTGCCATCAGTGAAACTAAAATTGAATCAGTTTAAAAAATCAGTCAAAGACAAATTAAAGCTGCTTGGTAGCTTGGTCAGCCACTCAGAAGATCTGATTCACTGGAACTGGGGTTTCTGAATACCAGACATTATTAAAGTATTCGCATAAGATCTGTTACACCTGTAACTCCATAAGCTGGGAATAGCTGACATGAATTATTTTAAGCACTCCAGTTCACTGTCTGGAGCTGTGTAAAGTGATGGAAGTGTTGCTAGAACAGGACAGGAGCTCGAAATGTTGTGTCAGATGAGCAGTGCATGCGTGTTTTGAGGGATAATGATATAATTCCTCAAGGTATAATCTACAAATATTGCCAAAACTGCTTCAGCAAGTGGCTGTTTGTCAAGTGTGCTCATACAGCCCTGTCAGTTGGTTCAGCCAGGAGGATCCCAAGCACCTGGTACAGCCAGAACTTTTACCCACAGCTCTGGCAACATGGCATTGTGTCCTTCAGGGACAAATCCCAGCTGGAATGAGAGATACCACGGTCAGGTGAAGATACTTGGAATTAATGTGACAGAAATACAGCATTAATACATCTGTCTGAGTCAAATACTCTTGATCTTTTCTGTGCTGAATCAGGAGGGCGAGTGGTTGGGAAGGGTTTTGCCTTATCCACAGTTCCTTATTTTCAGCTTTCTCTCTCTCATTTGAGGAGTGTGTGCTGTGAGCACTCTGTGTCACCTCCCTTCAGTAATTCCTGTGCTCTGTTGGCTCCCCCAACATCACTTTTCTTTGAAGTCACTGCAGGCATCACGAAAGGTCTTTCGTTAATGCGTTACTTGAAAGCAGTTTGAAAGGAGGATTTACCACATTTAGCTCCTATTATAGTTTAAGCTTTTAACTGTCACTAATTTTTTTTTGTCCCAAAAATGGTTGGAGGTACAGAGATTTCAACAACTCTTTTAAGAGCAAAAGCTTGAAGTTTTCTGTCCTTAACATGCAGAAATGAGGGCAGTGCCAGTGCAGGCAAGGAGAAGTCTTTCCCAAACTGAATTTTCAGTCTCCATCCCTGCATCATACAGGCTGCAGAAAAGTACAATTTTGAGTCAGTACAGAATTTTGATGTCACTACTACATAATGTACCTGGCAAAACTGAGATCTGGTGCAGTGAAAGGGAGGTTGCTTTGATATTTGAAAAAAATTCCAGAATGAATCATCTTCTTGAAGCTGGGAATTGAAATAACCACTGAAGAGTGTCAGTGTTGTATGGAGGTTTTGGATGAAATCACAGAGATTTTGGTACACCTCTCTTATTTGTCTCCTTGGAAAACATTTTTCCAAAGGTGTATCTAAAACTGGTTTTGCTGCAGCTGCAATAAAACTGTATTGTTTGTAAATGTAAATTTGCGTGTTTGCTTGGTTTGTGTATCAGTACAGAGGTAACAAGTGCAGTAACTCTGAGGGAGGAACAGCGGGTGTGGAGAGATAAAGTCAGGGAAAAGTATCCTAATAGTTGTCTGGTAAATCTTATCACAAGGAAGACATCTCTGAGAGGTAGGAACTTGCAAGGATATGATAGAGGAGGAAAAAAGCTTACATTTGCCACAGGCACAGCTCACTCCATGGGGAGGAAAAAAAAAAGGAGGTTTTTTCAATCTATTTCTTTCCCTACTCCAGGCTACAAATTCCCACACTAATGAGGTGGTGGCAGTCAAGAAGATGTCCTATAGTGGAAAGCAAACGAATGAGGTAAGATGGATAAAGGCAATTTTTCCTGCAGAAGCTGTGGCAGCCATAATGTAAATCTGAGCAGTGAAATGAGCTGCAGGTTTGATTTGACCCCAGCAGAACAGCTTTTCCTGCAGGAGCTTCCATGGGAAGCGTGGAGTTTTGTGGAGGGAAAATGAGTTGATGCAAATTTTGACAAATAGTTCAGTTTAAGGAAGTGAATGGGGATTCAAAATGCCTGTATGGGGGTTGTTGCAGAAATAATTTCAGTAGTAGTGCAATAAGAGCACACTGGCTACTGGAACCATAACCACAGCTCTCTGTAACACTCTTCAGGATCTATAATCTAAAATTGTAGAGACCTTGTATTGAGAAAATCAGTCTCGTTTCAACTGTTGCTTTTTAATTGTTCCTCTTATTTTTGCGTTGTGGTGCCGTGAACTTGGATCCACTGGTGCTTTGACATGCACTGCAGGGTGTGTTTGTTTGTTAAGAGCAAACAGGGATGTTTTAAACTCATTTTTTCCCTCGCTTCCCTGTTGGTCTCCCAAATGTCAGTGGTTTTATGCTGCGTTACAGAAGGAGGTGAGCAGCTCACTGCCACTCCCTGTAGCACTTCTGGTGTCTCGTGGGGCGGGTGGGTTTGTAACTAAGTTTGAGACCCACTGTGTAGAACAGTAGCATTTAAGTAAAATGTATTGCAGTTAAAATGAGGAAAAAAAAATAATTTTTGCAATCCTCAAACTGTTTAAATGTGTCTTGGGGATATCTCAGTGCAGTGAGGATCCACACAGCTGATGTTCAGTTGTGCTTTTACAGCTCTGACTCTTGCCATCTTCATATTGTACAGTAGTTTTATGGTCGCTTCTCAGACTGTCCTACAGCGCGTGGTGATTGAGAGGACGTCGAGGATTAAGCAGACAAATGCATTTATACTTTTTGCCTTTTTATTTTCATTAGAAATGGCAGGATATCATCAAAGAAGTCAAGTTTCTGCAACAGCTGAAGCACCCCAACACCATAGAGTACAAGGGCTGTTACCTGAAAGAGCACACGGCATGGGTGAGTGAGTGATGGGCATTTAGATCTGCATGGGCAGAGAATGTACAGCACAGCAGTCAAATACTCAGTGCAGGCACTGTCTATACATGCAGCAGTACTCATCCCATGCTACCTGCAGACCCTTTCACCTGAAGAATCTTCCAGGTAATCCACAGGAAATAAATACTTAAAATATTGTGAGAAATCCCTGCTTCTCTGAGGCAGGTCTCTGTGTTCATACAGATTAAACACTTACTAAGGAACATCCTCTACAGCTTCTACCCACAAACTTCTCAGTGTCTAAACCTTCTTCACAACCTTGAAAGGTGTCTTGACGTTGCTGAAGTGTTTGCAGGATTTTATTTTGTTCACCATTGGTTGCATTTCTTGCAACTTCAGGTTTTATTTGTGTCTGTGGCTGTTTCTCAGCCATTCGAGCAGGAACTGTGTGTGGGGAAGTGTCTACCCCTGTTACTTCCAGAATCATAGAATCACAGAATGGTTTGGGTTGGAAGGGACCTTAAGGATCATCTTGTTCCAATCCCCTGCCATGGGCAGGGACACCTTCCAGAAGCAACGTTATTATTGATTATTCAAGGAAAAGGCACAGAATAAAGGGCAAGAACTAACTTTCGACACTGTCCTTCCATGTCCATGTCTCAAAGTCTGATTTGAATTTCCTACTCGAATAGCTGTAGAGCAATACTGGTTTTGTGGTGAAACAGTACTAAAATAAAGTCAGATTTTGCATCTTCTGGTGGAAAAGTAACAAATGCTATTACTTGGGTAAATATTTTATTTTTTTTTTAACCAGGGCATTAAAGTTACCATGTGACTTAAATTTTCTATGTGCAGCCCTTCCTTAGTTGTAAAGACATTTTTATAGTTTCAAAAAGTGCTTAAAGGCCTGATTATTTTTTTTTTCTTGCAGTTGGTTATGGAGTACTGTTTAGGATCAGCTTCTGATTTGCTAGAGGGTAAGTTTTATATAGTTTTATATAGTCTTTGGTTTTCTTTCTGCTGGTGCCCCTACTGAGTATGGTGGGAGGCTGTTTTCTCACAGGCTGGGGTTTTGCAGACAGTAGAGGTGGTCTGTCTGTCCTGCTCCATTCTGTACCTAGAATCTGGGACATCAAGGGTAAGCTGAGGCTTTCCCAGGAGGCCAAGTGCTGTATGCATGTTTTTGTGTTGTAAAATGAAGGTATAAATGTGTATAGCTATGTTCCTGTAATTGGTGCCTTCTTGGCTGAAGCAGTCTGCCTATTTTCTGAAAATCCATCATAAAATCCTGCAGAGATCACCTTTGTCCTTGCCTTGTAGTTTGTAGGAATAATTACAGATGGTTGAATAGAACGAGAGGCTGATGTGACCTCAAAACTAGAACAGCACCTGCAGAGAAATAGGGAATCTAAGCCAAAGTTTGCAAAAACTAGTACTCCTTGTGGGCCAAGTCTTCTGTGTGTAAGATCACAGAATGGTTTGGGTTGGAAGGGACCTAAAGGTCATCCAGTCCCACCCCCTGCCATGGGCAGGGACACCTCCCACTAGCCCAGGTTGCTCCAAGCCCCGTCCAACCTGGCCTTGGACACTTCCAGGGATCCAGGGGCAGCCACAGCTTCTCTGGGCAACCTGTGCCAGGGCCTCCCCACCCTCCCAGGGAAGAATTTCTTCCCAATATCCCATCTAAAGTGGCAACTTAATGCCATTAAGATACAGTCAAGCCAAAGCATGTGCTGGTCATATTTAGGGATATATGGAAGGTGCTTCAGGGCACCTCTTCATGCCAGATGTGGGAGAGTTCCTTCTCTTCCACTTTCTCAGGAAAAGATCACTCTTAGTTTCTTCTGGTTTTTGGTGGTTTTTTTTTCTTGATTTTTTTTTTTGATTTATTTTTTATTAGTTCACAAGAAGCCACTTCAGGAAGTGGAGATTGCTGCCATCACCCACGGTGCCTTGCAGGGGCTGGCCTACCTGCACTCTCACTGTAAGATCCATAGGTAAGGCTGGAGCTTGGGGCTGCTGAGCTCCTTCCATCTGCTCTTTTCTGATGTCTAAAATCTGCTTCACTGTGTTTAAACAACTCTGGTAAAAATTATTCTACCAAAATTCTCTCCAGTGGACATGTCAGTACTCCTAGTGCCAAGGTAGATGTATAAATAAAAGCTGTTGACTGTTAGGGAGTGTATTTTTTTGGTTGAAATAGTTTAATGTGGGTCTGTCCTGTGCTGGATTCTCTTCCATGTTGGCAATAGTTCTCTGCAGACCCTGATAAAAAAGAATGTTGGCACTAAACACTAACAGGAAAATATCACCCTAAATTTGCCAATTAGAATGTAGTGGTATGCTGGTTTTAAGAGAATATTTTACATATTAGAAGGTAAAGCTTTATGCTTTCAGAAATCAGGCAGTGGAAGTGTAAGTCAGGGATAAAACCACTTCAGGAGAAATCAAAGCTCAGGCAGAGGAAGATTTTATACAGGCACTTCCTAGATCTGTCGTTCATAATGTGATGTTTTTCAGGAGTTGGGATTTTTTTTTTTTTACTCATTTGTCAGCAGTGTTGCATGTTCTCATTTGATTTCATTTCTTTGGTCTAATTTTGGGTACCACTGATATGTCAGGGACTTGTGAAGTGGATGAGAACTGGATTAATGGGTGGGAATTCATCAGAATAAAGCAACTTGAAACTGATTTATGGGGCTAAAAGCCTCTTTGTAGTCTACTGGAAATCTTGAAACGAAAAATTGGTGTATCTGAGGCTGAGTCAGTGAGGGATTTTTAGAGACAGGAATTATTTGTTGCTTGTTAAAATAACTATTTGGGGCATATCTATACATGGTTAAATCATATTAAATTAAAAAGAATAAATGCATTCCAATTTATGAAATGAAAATATTATTATTTTGGATGAGTTCTTTCCCCGTATTTGCGTGTAAAACACCTGTTTTGAAGTATTTTACATGTTTTCAAAGTGCACTGAATTGTTATTTATAGTTAATGACTCCCTGTATGGACACTGTTGAGAATGAGGGGTTTTTTTTGATAGCACTTCCTAGCATGGTGCAGTTATGATTGTGAATTCAGCAGTTTCCCCTGATGAACAGCAGCTACTCCATGTGGCCTTTCCATCAGCATCCTTGTTCCATATCAACACCAAAAAATGGTTATTTCTCTTTCCCACTGGGAAGTTCCTTTGCTGTTGCAGAGTTCTGGGAGCACCCATAAGGGATTTGCTGCTGGAAGGGCCGTGTGGGTTGTTCCTATTGATCTTCCTAAGAAAACTGAGAGTGGAGATCTCATCAATCCATGTAAATATCTCCAAGGGGAGGTCAGAGGATGGTGCCAGACTCTTCTCGGTGGTGCCCAGCAACAGGGCAAGAAGAAACTGCCATAAACTAAACCACAAGTTTCACCTCAACATGAGGAAAAACTTCTTTATGGAACAGCTTCCCAGGGAAGGCACGGACTGTCCCTCTCTGGAGACATTCCAAACCCATTTGGACACATTCTTGTGTCGCCTGCTCCAGGTGACCCTTCCTTCACAAGGGAACTTGGGCTGGGTGATTCCAGTGGTCCCCCTCCAACCTGAACTGTCCTGTGGTTCTGAGACCTGCTTTTCATCCAAGGGGTATTCCACCTTTTTAACTTCTGGGATGGGAAGGCAAATCTGCTCTCCCAGAAAAAAACTCGTCAAGGGATTTCTGGGTTTGCGCGTGAAAAGGAGAGGCGAGAGAGCCAGTCCTGCCTGGGCGGGGAGCAGTGTTCGCTGCTGTGCACCACTCCTGTGGCCCTGGGGACAGTGAAGGCAATGCCGAGAGGGAGAAAGGACCGAATTTTGGGAGCGGGGACCGAATTTTGGGAGCGGGGACCGAATTTTGGGGTCGGGGACCTGGCGCGGGGGGGACACCTGGTGGCGAGGGAGCGGCACTGCAGGCCCGGCCTCCCGCGCATCCCCGCGCCCGCCGCGTCCCGAGTCACCCTGCGGATGGCTCAGGAGGAGGCGGTTGTTGTTTAATCGCGGGCACAAGGCTAGTGGATATATTGCTGGTGTCTTGACGTGGCTGCTGAGTCGTCGTATAGAATCACAGAATGGTTTGGGTTGGGTTGGGAGGGACCTTAAAACTCATCTTGTTCCAACACACACCTTCCACTGTCCCAGGCTGCTCCAAGCCCTGTCCAACCTAGCCTTGAACACTTCCAGTGATGGGGTGACCACAACTCCTCTGGGCAACTTTGCCAAGGCCTCACCACCCTCACAGTAAAGATTTTTTTCCTAATATCTAAGCTAAACCTACTGGCTGTCAGTTTGAATCCATTCCCCTCGTCCTGTCACTCCAGGCCCTTGCAAATAGCCTCTGTCCATCTTTCTTGTAGCCTCCCTTCAGGTGCTGGAAGGCTGCAATTAGGTCACTCCAAAGCCTTCTCTCTTCCAGGCTGAACAAACCCAATTCTCTCAGCCTTTCCTCATAGGAGAGATGCTCCATCCCCTTGGTTGTTGTACAGGGAAGGTGGCAGTGGAGGTGACAGCAAAGGGGACAGCATGTGTTCTCTCTCGTGTACTTTTGAGGTGTTCGTTCTTGCACACATACTTTTCTCTTTTTTTTCTTTTAAAGGGATATTAAAGCTGGAAATATTCTCCTAACAGAACCAGGTCAAGTGAAACTCGCTGATTTTGGGTCTGCATCTATAGTCTCCCCTGCCAACTCTTTTGTGGGAACGCCTTACTGGTGAGTAAAGCCTGTAGTACTTCAGTCCTTTATAAAACTTACCTTCCATTTTCAGTATTTCACAGTAATATGTAGCATAAGATCTTTTATTAACCAAGCAGTTTTCCTGACATCCCTGCATCCAGGTCTTGAGGAAGTGTGTCTTTCCTCAGTGTCCATGAGTAGAGTTTTAGGCTGTGCAGCACTTGGAAATGCCACCAGTTAATGGCTCCACTGTTGCAATGCCATGGGCTTAAAAACAATTAACATTTGCCACAGGTAATGGAACTAAAACAGCCCCATGGAGAAAGGCAGTCCTGTTAATCTGGCCATGCAGGCTGCAAGTCACACAGCCACTTAAATCCTGTTTTGAAGGAACTTGCTGAAGGGTCACTTGAGTTCCTTGGCATTCCTAACACAGTGGACCAGCACAGCTCCATGCTCCACTGATTTTGTGGCAGAGGCCCCAGGAATTGCTGGGAGGTCACTGTGGCCCTGAATGAGGCCATTTGGCAGGAAGCCTGTTTGTCTTGGACGAACACAATTTAAGAGGCTGGATTTTTGCAGGCTGGGCCTGCTTCTTCTTCTTCTTCTTCTTCCCCCGCCTCATCCCTTTTTCTTGGACCACCTTATTTCCCCACTGTTCCAGACATCCCTGTTCCATTCATAGATATGCCCACAGACTGCATAAATCTGCTGGAAAATTCTCCTGGTGTGCCAATGGGAAGCTCACCAGCTCTGGTGAGAGTGCAGGGGGGATCCTTTTCCCCCCTTTAGGGCTCTCCCAGCCCTTGCTGTCTGCCTGCAGGTACAATGCCTTTGGGATTAGGGGGTCTCCCTCATTTTATGTGCTGGGAGTGACATCCATGTGCCCTAACCTGCCCTTTGCTCTGTGGCTGGCAGGATGGCACCAGAGGTGATCCTTGCTATGGACGAGGGACAGTACGACGGGAAGGTGGATGTCTGGTCCCTTGGAATCACGTGTATCGAGTTAGGTGAGTAAATACATGGCAGCTGAGATGACTAATTCCCTGTCTGCAATATATTAGGAAGTCCTGAAAAAAAAAGGAAGATTCTTATTCCTCATAAGAGTCCTTTTTTTTTTTTTCCTCTTTAAAATGCCTGACTTGGAAAACACTGACAGTTGAGTTAAAGATTTAACTCGCTGGCAAGCCACTGATGTGCTGTGTTTCCATGTTAGTCTGGTGTGCTTGGTTATTCCCTTAACAACCAGAGGATTCTGCTCTTGTATGAGAGGAAACCATCATTTGTCATCTGTATTTTCCAAGCTGGATTCTGAGAGAGTTGTTCCAGCTGTTATGTCAAGGGAACTGGTGTCCTAAGGATTGTGTGTCAGGAGGGGCTTAGGTTTAATTTTCAACTCTTCTTACATCCCTGCTCTCTGAAACAAAAATCTTCAATCTCAGCTGAAAGTTTGGGCCATGAATCATTGTGGACAGGCTCTTTACATGAGAAGAGAAGGGTTTGCACTGCAAGGGCAAATCATACACAGCCTGGAACAGATGTGGATGTGATGGCAGGTATACAGAGCAGATTTGGAGTGCATTTTGATTTTGAATATTGACCTTGCATGTGCTGAGTAGAGTATTCTCAGAAATAGTCTTGATATGGATTATATTTAACATAGTACATCAATAACTTATTGTGAGGGTGAGTTCACTGAAAATGGTATTGATAAGTGTTTAATCAGGAGAAATACATGTGAGATAACAAAGAGGGGATGTGCAGAATGGGAAGAAATGTTGTCTCCAGTATGGAGATGGTGATGAGGTAGGTGACTGGTAACTGAGTGTTGTATTTCATGTGCCAGCACGGTGACACACTCTGTATTTTGATATAAAAAAATGCCAAAATCAGAAGTTTTAGACTTCTCTTCTTCTACATGGCCACTGGGTTTTGTTTGTGTGGAGTTCAGCAATGTTACAACCTCTCAAGGAGTAAATCACAGCAGTAGGAGAGATACTGTGCAACCTTATGTGGACAAAACTCTCTTGGTACCAGAATTTCTGTGGAGCTTTTCACTCAGGAACCTCAAAACCATTTTACAGAGTTGATGGATTTCCTTTTTTTTAGTATTCCCCCTTTGGGAAGTATTAAACTTCTTTTTAAACTTCAGACCTTGCCTTTGCATGATTCCCTGTCTGAACATGGGGTCAGGTAGAAGTGGGAGGAAATCTCTTGTTGAGCAGCACTGGGCTTAATTTCTTAATTCTTTATTTCTTATTAATTACTTGTGTAGCTGAAAGCAAGTAGTGCTTAAAGAATTTAAGCAAATGTGGTGGTTTGCCTGCGTGTGCATGGCAAGGACAAATGACTGCTCTGACCTGACATGAACTGAAAAATCTTGGCATCACTGACTGGCATGACTGACCTTGGGTGGTGATGAAAACCAGCCTTTCCCAATTTCTGTGTGAGATCTCTCCTGAAAGGTCAGGGGCTGGTAGGCAGGTGCCCTCCCAGTGCAAGGACTAGGTAGGATTTTAGTTAGGGGGAGTTAAGGACACATCTGGCAAGTGAATTTGGTAAACTGTCCCACTTGCATGTGCTGCCTGTGACAAATGAGGCAGGCAGCCCCTCTTTCCCACGATTCAGATGCTTCAGCAGTGCAGCAAAGATCTGTAGGGATTGATACAGGATGTCCTGGCCCTGACCTGCTGTGCCTGAGCTCAGGTTTATTTAGTTGCAGCTGATTTTACCACAGAGAGTCAGGTGTGAGATGTTGCAGTTAAGATAAAATTTACTGGAAGCTTTTCCTTATGATTTGTGTCCCGCCAGTTTTGGATTTCACCATTCCTCTCCAAGTGAACAGCAGCTTCTCTGGAGTGGGTGTCCTGATCTAACCTGGAATATTAAAATAATTAGCCTAAAAGATGTGACGACAGCAATGAGCCATGGATTCAGCAGTGATACCCTGCTTGTACTTCCATATCTTTCTCCTCTCTTTCCAGGCTGCCTTATCACACCTTTCTCTTCTCTTTCTAGCTGAGAGGAAGCCTCCACTTTTCAACATGAATGCAATGAGTGCCTTATATCACATAGCCCAGAACGATTCCCCTACGTTACAATCAAATGAATGGTAAGAGAGCAATTAACAGATTATTTTTGTTGCTTATTTCCCTGAAAATGCTCTGTGATGCTCTGCACGGTTAAACTCTGACAAGGAAAGTGTTGGTTGCAGTGCAGTCATTTGCCTCTGTTCTCAAGTCATGCTCCTGTGTAGGCTGGCTCAGTTTTGCCCTTCTGTCACTTTGGCTGTGCTGCAGTCCAAGTGAGTGGAGGTGTTAATTATGGGGCTGTGGATGCTGTAGGAATTAAAATATTCTTAGGCGCGTTAAATCGGCATCGGCGAAGTTTCCAGCTGCAGAAGATCCCTGACAGAAAATTTGTCGGTACCTTTGTGCAGCTGAAACGTGGAGAAAGGGAGGGGAGGGATGCACAGAACAGAGAGGAAGTTGGATATTTTTTTTCAGTGAGTGACTCCAAAAGCCATCAGAGCTCTGTGGCCAGTAAATGCTCCCCACGCTACAGGCGTGTTCCAGAGTCTGAGCTCTGACACAGGAATGCTTTTGTTACTCTGTGGGAGCAGAGGGGTTGCTCTGTTTCCTGCTCCCTGTTCCCAAGAGTGGAGTGGTGCTGTGGAGTGGTGCCTGGCAAGAATCTGCAGAAGGCTTGAAACAAAAGCTCCTGGAGAAACGTGAAGATCCCCCGTTTCTCTGTGGGGCGTTTGAGCAGCATGACTATTGAATTGCTGATGGTTTTATCCAAACCACTCCAGTTTCCTTATTTCACCATCTCTCTTTCGTCTGTTTTTCAAGATTTGAAGAACTTGGTCTCCTACCTGGACACTGATACCCATTTTCTGTGCAGAGTTTGCAAAGCAGAGTAAAGATAACTGTGAACAGAGCATAAAAATCAGTGTTTATGGTCCCCTGTTTGCTCTTTGGGGCTCTGAGGGCACAGGGAGTCAGCGAGGTGGCTTTTATGCAAGTTCAGTGGCACCTAAAATACCAGTTTTCTTCTTTCCACTTGTGGTACAACCTCAAATAAAGCCTAAAATATTGCTGAACTAAGCATTGCATTGAGAGGCTTTAATGAGGCAGTGTTACAAGCTCCCAGAGAGTAATGATGAGTGTGTTTCTGGACTTCCCAATAATTTCATTGTCATCTGTTTTTCAGTAGTTGAAGTAAAATTTTAAATACTGGCTGGCACATGTAGTTCTTCCTTGGTTTTTGGTTTGTGGTTGGGGATAGTTGTGTGTCCACTTTTGTTTCAACAGTCCTTAATTGTGAAAGACCTGATGGGATCAACTCACTCAATTTGGAAAATTCAGTTAATTTCTCTGCCCTAGAACTTAAGAACAAATTAGTCAAGATTTTTCTTTTGCTTTGCACTTATAAGTTGGCATATATTGCACATCCTAAGCTTCTTTTTTTCATTTAGAACTTTTTTTTTATTTTTTTTTTTTTTTTATTTACAGGACAGACTCCTTTAGGGGATTTGTTGATTACTGCTTACAGAAAATACCTCAGGAAAGGCCATCATCAACAGATTTGTTACGGGTAATTTATCAAATCTTTTCCAGAAATGTGGGGGAAAATCTGTTTGTCTACCAGGATAGTTGTAAAGATGGTGAACAAATACTTGCCCTTACAAAAAAAAAAGGAAAAAAAAAAGGTTGATTTTGCTCTTATCTGAATCAATAGAGATTGAGACTTTTCTTTTAGGCTGTTTATTATTTCCTGACTTTGTCTGTTATGTCAGTCAATTCTCTTTGTAACCTGATGCTCAAGATTTGAACTAGTGGAGGAAAGCAGAGGTGGGCTGTGTGGTTAAACCAGTTCTGCTGTTGGGTGAGGAGTTACTTATGTTGAAGAACTTGCAGTCCTCATGGGATAACAGTGTGAGTAACAGGGATTTTAGCTGAAGGAAAAACCTGTCAGCCCAAGAGGGGTAGAAGGATTTAATCTTGATTTTTATTTTTTAACTGATTTTTTTTTTTTTTCCCAAGACGATGCTTTTAGTGAAAGTATTACCAGGGAGAAACAGGTCCAGAGCTGGGTGAGTTAAATCTGTGCTGCAACAGTGAATTCCAGCCCGTAGTTTTCTGTGTAGGCAGCACTTGGGGGTGTGTTTGCTGCAGCTGGGATGAAGAAGGAATTTTCAGCAGCCTCTCTGCCATGCTGTGCCCTGAGTTGTGACCCTGCTGCACTGTGTGGTCTCTGGAAGAGCAGACAGAAATGAGGGAGGAAACTGGATGCAACCCTGGATGCAGAGGGAATGGGGAAAACTACACCTTGGTGAGGCTTAGTGAAAGCAAAGACCTTTCTGGAGCAGTTGCACAGTTTTGTGTAAAGTGATGCAGCTGTTAACTTGCTGATGCTCCTTTTATTTATTTTTTTTTTCTCCTTACCTTCTCCAGTAAGGAAAAATGCTGCTTCTCTGTTGTTTAACAGGCAATACTTGCTACCAAGTCTTTATGGGGTTTCTGTGAGATTCAAGGCTTGTAATGTGTTACAGGCTGTTGCTTTTGGAGGTGATAGGAAATCTAAAAAGCCATTTAATTGCTGCTCAAAACCTCGAGTTAGCCAGTCTTCATAAGATACATAGGAAGTAGCAGATCTTATTGCAGAGGTGGCAGTGCTTTGAGATGATCAGAGGATTGAGGTCTTAAATAAAGATTTACAGATAGGGACTGATTATTGAAAGGAATGTGGGTATTGGAGATGGGAAGACACTGGATGACTTATGATTGTCTCCTGTCCGGAGCAGGATTGGTCTCTGTGGAATGCTCTGAGCTGTCCTGTCTTGTGGGTTTTTTTGACAGACACAGATGAAATTCAGAGGGGTTATCCTGACCTTTTTTTCTTCTGATAATACTAATGTGAGCGTGATTAATTCTTTACCTGTCCATACCTTTTGGGTATATATCTTTTAATGATCTTTCTGCCTGATCTCACAGAATATTCTGAGTTGGAAGGGACCCCCAAGGATCATCAACTCCAGCTCTTAAGTGAAGGGATCAAACCCACAACCTTGGTGTTATTAGCACCATGCTCTAACCAGCTGAGCTCATCTCAGGGTCACTGCAGCTCTTGGTTTTGCTCTGCTGTAAATCATCCATTTGGGTCTTTCTGATCCTCTTTTTGTTTATTTTTTTTGTTGTTGGTTTCTTCTTTTCCTACATTCATGCATCACACTTGGCAGCTAAAAGCAGCACTGAGAGGATAGGCCAAGGTTAACTTCCTCCTCTAATCAAACCACCAAACTCAAAAGTTGTTTATTTCTCTTTAATAGTTTCTATACTGTACCCAGTTAATTAAACTTGTTTTGAAAATAACTGAATCATTTTGGAAAGGGCCTGCACAGGTCCATAATTGCCAAGAGCCTGTGGGAGGGGGACTTGTGCTGGGAGTGATGTTTGCCAAGGTTTTGTCAGTGAATCATAAATCAGTTCCAGTTTAAGTCATTTGGTTTCAGTTTACCTGAGAAATTATAGGAACTGTTTATAACTCCAAGGGCTTTGTGTTTGGGAAATTCAGGAGCAGCCTTCCACTAGAAGGTAGGGAGGTGTGTGAAATCCTGTTCAGCCCCTTTTCCATAAGGCTTTTTCCTTTTCTTTTAAGTCTTGCCTTCCTTTAAAATTGATTAGTAGCCCTGCTATCCCTCTGGTTGCCGGTGCCAATTGCATGGCATGCTGCTGTTCCACACCAGGTAAACAGGAGTCAGCTTTTCCCTAAATCCCTGAGCAGAGGCACTGCTGGCTCCACTGGGTGTGTTGCTTCATTCCCACAGATTGCTGCTCTGTGTCCACCTGCCAGCCTTTCCATGCTGGTTTTTTGTGCTAAGGCTTCCATCAGCTTGTGTTTTATGGCTCCTCTTGGTGCTCTTTCAGCTCAGTAAAATGCATTTTTCTGGGTGTTTCTGAGCCAGCTTCGTGCTCACTCCTGTCCTCTCTTTAAGCCCAGACCACAGAGTGTGTTTAACTCTCGTGCCTTCACTGCAGGTAAAGGCTGATGAAGGAGCTGTTTGTGTTCTCTTTGGCACCTGGTATATAGATATATATATTTTTTTTTCTTGTGCTGTGGCAAATAACCAGCATTTTGTTCTCTCATTCTGCTTGTAGCACGCTGACCAACTAATAGGTTTGTGTTGTGGGTTTTTGGAATGATTCATTCCTGTGGACTGGCAGCCTTGCTGCTCTCTAGGAACAGGCTGAGTTCATTGAAGGATGTGATTTCGTGAGAACCTTAGGTTGGAGCCTGTACAAACAATTAGAGCTGAGATCTGAGTCTGAAATGATGTATATTCAGTATTTTACTTGGTTTTAGACTCCCACAGCAGTTGCTTCCCTCCTGCAGTAGCTCTCCCAAAAGCTTCTTAGTTTATAAGACTTGGAATATTTTTGTCTTTTGAGGGCTTTTCACTTGTGTGCAATAAAGAGGAATAAAGACAATTTTCATGGCCGTATTTTCTTAAAGGAAACTGAGTTTTAAGTGATGTGTTTGAAAGTTAACTCAGTTTCCACTCACTATCCTAGATGAAAATAGTCAAATGACTGTAGTGACGTTAAAATGCAGTTGAAATTTTAAAAAAAAAAAATCAAAACCAAACCACAACCAAAAATGATCTTACTAATATTTTTCACTTTTAAAATTAAAATCAATTATAAAATGTGTTTTAAAATCCTTTTTTTTCCCCTGTTTTTCTCAACTTGCCTGACATTCCCAGAAGATTTGATCTCTGGCAGTCATTTTTCCAGTCAATGTGCTCCTTGCCCTTAGACTAACAGCTTCTTCCTTTTTAGCCTGGGGTTTGTTGGTTTGGGGGTTTTTCCTGCAATTTGGAGAAAGTACATAAATTAAGTCCTTTCAGCCATCTTTTCTTGGAGGTGCACAATACCCAGCAGAGGGGTGACTGCATCTTTTATATGTAATTTAGACAAATCAATCACAGAATCATAAAATACGCTGACTTGGAAGGGGCTCATCAGGATCATGAAGTCCAACTCTATTTTTATTTAGCCATTTTAATTTAGACAAAATCCATTTTAGTTTAGACACATAATGCGAGTAGGCAGTCACAATTGTGTTCTCATTTTGCAAGAACCTTTTGGTTTGGTTTTCTCCCCTGTGTGTCTGCCCTTTCCATGTGGTCACACTTTAATGTCTGAGTGGACATACAGAACGGATTTAAGTTCAGGATCACTGTTCCAAATGCATTGCTGCTTTCTAAAAATGATTTACAATGAGATAAGAACGTGTCCCTTTTCTTTTTCTAGTCATGAATAAGCTGCAGATTGTTGCTGTTCACGGAGAAGTAAATGGTGGTTATCTCCGTTGAGGAGCAGAAATGATTCATTTTGTTTCTGTGCAAAATGATGTTTAGAACTTTTAGCTCTGATTCAAAAATAAACACCATCACTACAAGCAAAAAATGACTGGCTGTCCCCATTAGCAAAACTCAAACGCACAACAGTTTGAATTCAATTAAAAACTAGAAATAAGCCTGTGGCAGGATACTTCCCTTGTTTATTTACAAATCATTAAAAGATTATTAGCTCATCCTTTCAACCCTTTTGTTGAAGACTCCTGTTTTAAGGAGGACTGGGGTTTCATGTGCTGGTTACTCCAGCTCCAGATGGATGTTTTAGCTCTTGAGGCCCTGAGCCTGCAGCAGAGCTGTGAGGCCAGGCAGGCAAATGTGACCCTCCCGAGGATTTCCCTGCAGGTGGGTCCAGCTGTTGAGGCTCTGACAAAAGCCCCTTGTGGCACTTGCAATGCACAGTAGAGAACTACTTTTTTCCCCTCAGTTTCTCTTTTTTTATTGTAAGTTTTTCTACAAACTTGCAGAGGATGTTCGTGCCCTAAGGCCACCTCCATGGGTACATACTAAGCAACAAACCCAGCTGTAGTGATACCATGTAGAATATTGGCAAGTACACCCAGGCTGGCTGCTTTAGCCAAAGTTAAATGGGAAAGCTGGAACCTTTCCTACTGTATTGACAGTTGTACAGTTCAGGAGAACGTATCTAATAAATCAGGGAAGAGCCTTTAATCATGTACTTAAATACCATTAAAGAATTTATTAGGTCTGCCCTTAAGACCTGTGCAGGAGTTGATAAAAACATGATTTTGTTTTAAGTCTGACTACAAGTGCTTTAGGTATAAATAAACCTTGCAACCTTCCTGCTGGTTTTATGTGTGATTTGGAATAGATGGGTGCAGGAGAAATCTTTTGCAGGTAGTGTTGCAGAGTCAGGATTGATCCTTGTTTGTCCTTTGTGCATTTTGTTCATTCTGAAGCCCTCTGAGGTTTGGAGTGGCACTGTCTTGTACCTGCTTCAAGTGAACCCCCTCAGGAAGGGGCAAACCAACTGTGTAGCCTGGAGAGTTCAGAAAACCTGACCCTGGTCCCAAGCTCAGGGTGTGTGGAGTCTCTCAGAAAGGGTGTTACCAATTATGGAATATTAACAGACCAATCACTGAGTGGGAACTGTCACTTCAGGGGTCTCAAAAAGCCCCCGTGTCCCTGTTCTGATGTCAAACATTCCAGTGTCACGTCAGGTGCTTTTTATTTCCTTTGATTTAGCACGACTTTGTCCGCCGAGACCGACCCCCCAGGGTGCTCATAGACCTCATCCAAAGGACAAAGGATGCAGTGAGGGAGCTGGATAACCTGCAGTACCGGAAAATGAAGAAAATCCTCTTCCAGGAGACACGGAATGGCCCTCTGAACGAGTCCCAGGAGGAGGAGGAGGTACTTCTGTTTTGTCACCCCATTTGCACCCTTACAAGTAGTTTCAGGGCAAGCAAGGTGTATCCTCTCCTTAAGGTGGCAGAACGAGCACAGCCTAGGTGAGGAATGCTGTTGGAATATCATTTGGATCAGCAGAGAGGCAGGATAGGATACTGAGTAATAGTAGCCCTTAGTGAGTGCTAAAGCTGCCAGTAAATGCACATCTAAAACTTTGGGTTTGTTTCCAAAGGTGGCCTTTCTTCTGGAAGCTTTAGGGGAGAAACTCACTCAGAGGGAAGTTCTTTGCAAGAGGTGGTTCCCAGACTGTGTGAAGGAGGGTCTTTGACTGCCCAAACTGTTCTTTCTCATCAGCACAGTCAAAACCACTCAGTGTTAATATTTTTTTTCAATTACCATAATTTTACTGTAAAGCCTATCATAAGCTGAGAAACAAGTCACTGGATTAATAAGACTTATTTTTTTAAATTCTTTAATATTAAAGGAGAAAAAAGTTAAAGGTTAAAGACATAAGACTCATCTTCAGTTTAAATCTTGTAATAAACAACCCACTTAATCAGTGTATGATAATTGACCTTAACTGTGGAGAAAGAAACCAGTCATTTTTCAGTTGATGAGCTTAGATGGAAATTAATGTCACTTGGTGCAGGCACATTGGATAAATAAATCCATGACTGGTTCTCACTGAAAAACATTGACAGACAAATTGATGTCTGTATTGCTTTTGCTGCAGTGTAGTGAGGTAATAATACACAGAGAGGTGCCCAAGCTCAGCACATCTTCAGGGACTTGGTTTTGAGGTCAAATGTTCCTTTAAAGCTGAACTAGAGCTCTGGTTTAAGAAATGGGCACCTGGGTGTCAGGTAGGAGAGGTTCAGGATGGGGGGGGGACCAGCACTTCATGCTCTCCTTCCCTGGGATGGAGATGCACAAAAGGAGCAAGAGCAGCATCTGCTGTGATTTAAACTACCAAGTGCTGCTCCTGTTTTGACCTTCCAGCTTCCAGACCTGGAGCTTAGCTGGGGAGTGGGGGATTGTCAGACTTCTGCACTTAAGCCTCCCAAGTTTCTCTCCCCGTGCATGGCAAGATGTCAGGAGAATGACAGGGCAGGAAAGGTGCCAGGGAAATGGGTTTCCCACTTGACTGTTCAGCAGTTCCAAGCTCAACAGGATACACGTGGCAGTAGTAGACTCAAAGATGTCTCTCTTGTTCCTCCTGTTCCCACTCCTCAAACCACAGGGGAAAGAGCTATTGTACCTCCAGGAATTCACACTCTGCATGTGCACAGCATGCTCTGCACTGCATTTGACCCCTGAGCCTGTGTCCCTCCAGAGGAGGTTGTATTTATTGCTCGTGTGTGTCACTAACTCAGCGGTGAAAGGAGAACAGCACGTGCTTCAGTTGCTGCCTAACTGGTTACAGCACCTGCTCCACTGTGGATGCCACAAGACACTTCCTTGCTCTGCCTTCCGAGGTGGAAGAGGAGCCTTACAAATCTTTAACACTCAGAACACTACTAATGCTTTCCTCAGAGCTCTCACAGGAAGGTTAAGGTCATTTGGAAAGTGTTGAAGCCAGGAAGCCAATGTTAAGGTTTCATTTGCAGTCTCATCTCTGTCCTTCGTGCATAGACACTCATTAATTACACAGCCATTGCCTCATCTCAGATGCTTCATTATGTTATTTCTCCTGCAACTTTATATAAGCATCCTGAAAATATTTTCATTCTCATGTTCTCTGTAAACCAGTATTATTTTGGATTTTAAGTGCTCTCGTGCAGGCTCTGAATGATCTGCTGATTGCTTAAAAAATGATCTCACAATCAAAGACAAATCTGTCAAGTCTCAATTTTATCTTTCTGTCAGTCTCCAACAAAATGAGTTCCCTGTTAATTGATTTGTGATGTAATTCTCCCCAAGCTCCCTTTGGAGGCCAGGACAAACTGGGTGCAGCAGCAGGCTGTTCATTTTAGTGAGTCAAGGCTGTTTAAGACCAGGAGCTGAAGGATGTTCAGAGCTCTGTCCTCACTGTGAACTCCTTGCAAGCCTCTTCAATGCCACTAGTTAATTACAAAGGACTCCATGAATTCACTAAATCAGTCCAGACTAAGCACATACTCTGGGATTACTCTACTCCTCTGAGTATGGAACAAGAGAAGAGGCTGCTAACTTCTGAAATTTGTCTGTAGAATCCAAAATACCTCCTACATGAGGAATACTTATTTATTTATATCTTAAGTTTTAACCCCAGAAATAATGCAGGCTTTTCTGAGTCAGCTCCTAAAATTCTTCACCCTCATCTTGGCTGAAAACACAAGGTTTCAAGGGGTTTTTAGCTTGATAAAACATAATTGCTGACTGCTTGGGACATGGAGGTTAAAACCTCTACACCTGTTAAGCACCATGTAGAATTTATCAAATAAGAAACCAGTGGGTTCATTGTCTTACATTTTTTCTTATTCAGGAAATGTGTTGGAGCATTGCTGTAATTCAAACTTAGATTTTTTTTTTTTCCTTTTAATTATGAGACTCCTTCCACCAGTCATCCAGTGTGCCTGGATGTCTCCTATCAAGCCGAGAGCCATGCCCAGACTTACTGATACTTGAAAAAAACAGACTTGAAGCCTGATGCAGTAAGATTACAGGGGAAAAGGCAAAAGCTGCCTGCCCCATATAGATTATTCCACAACCCAAGCAACCCCGAGAAATGTAGTTGGCAAAATACTGACCTTGAAGTCTGCGGAGTCACCTCTAGAACAGACTTTGGGCATTGCAGGCTCGTGCTGGGCAGGTGATCTCCTGCAGTGTCTGTAACTGATGCCCCTTGTTTTATAGGACAGTGAGCATGGATCAAACCTGAGTAGGAAGATGGACAGTCTGGGCAGCAACCATTCCATCCCCAGCATGTCTGTGAGCACGGGCAGCCAGAGCAGCAGTGTGAGCAGCATGCAGGAGGTCCTGGATGAGAGCAGCCCTGAGCTGGTCATGATGCATAGTGACGAGAGCACCATTAATTCCAGTTCCTCCGTTGTTCACAAGAAGGTATGTTCCTGGTGCTCTCCATGGCTTCCTGCAGTCCCTGTTGGCTCGCCCGGTCCGTGTGCTCTGGTCTTGTGCTGAGCCATCTGCTGAGAGCAGGAGCTGGTGCTGGGCTTGCCACAGTCAAGTTCTGTGGGTTGTTCTTTTATTTTTTTCTATAAAAGCATTTAAATAACCTCTGAGAATAGAAAGAGGCTGCTCATGAAAGAGCTGTGAGTGCCTAGGCAGGGTTCACCCAGACTTGCTGCATGTGCCTCCTCGCCCGGCCCCGCATGTGCACTTCTCCATCTCTGCTTGGCACATCAGTCCTTGTCTCCTCGGGAATGACTGTTCTGTGCCCTGTGCTGTGCTGACAAGTGGTCCCAGCAGCTCAGCTAACCCTTTACCAGTCACAGTGTGTGATTAAAATCCGCTTGCACTTGGATTTCCCTCATGAGAAGTGGAAGTTTGCAGAACTTTGGACCCTTCCCACGAGGTATGTTTGGAGTCAAGTTCCACCCGATGCCTTTCTGCTCTTTTGCTGCATGCTGTGATCTGCTGCCTTTCCTTCTCTTGGTGCTAGGTACCAAGCTAAAGTTGTCTAGCTGTAAGTCAGCATCTAACCTCAACTATTTGTTTGACTAAAATAGTTTTGGCTTGGCCTTAGCAGTGTCAATTGCTAGTGGGCAGCAAAATGTAGGTTGGTTGTGGGATTGCATTTGCAAGGAACTTCAAAGTGTACGTTTTTGCTTTTTGCCAGAGGAGGTAAAACATTACAGCAGCGTGAAAGCCATGAATTTCTTGTTTGTAAGGTTACAGGACAGCCTGGTTTTAACTAACTAAATATTTGTAAGCAGTTTTTCCTCCTGAAATGCAGTGTTTGTGTCACTGAATATCGAAGTGCCTGCAAAAGGGAGCTTTTGAGACGCTTGGTCTTTAACAAAAGATGGCCTTAGGTATTTAAAGATACTGGCAGATAAGTTGCACAGGTTTCAGGGGTTTACATCTTTCTGAAATACATTTGAAAAGCACCTTTACAGAAGATTTTGTTTTCACCTCTCTGAAAAAACTAGTGTTAAGTACCAAATGCCAAGCCCAAGTAACCGTACTGAAGGAAGAGCAGTGCCACTGATGTGGTGGTTTTAGTTCTGGGTGGTTTTAGTTGAAGCTCTTTCTCATTTTGTGTAGGTTCAGAAATGTGTTTTAACTTTAATTTCACATTGTTAAACAGTCATATTTACTACAGCATTAAAATAGGAGTTAGAGGGGCTGATTTACACATGGGTTATAATGTTACTGCTCAGTGTCATTACAGTTGATGAAAACAAAATGTGAGCTGCTCCCAGCAGACATAAATGGCATTTGTGAAAGGAGTAGAGTTCCTGCTTGTTTTAAGAAGAATGTTGTGTTTTATAATGGTTGTATGGCACTTCTGAAGTACAAATACAGGATTTCTGATGCTGTGAATTCAGTCCTCTTAGAATTCTGCATAGCTGTTCTCTTGAGATTAAGGCATTCAGTTGAGTGGGATGCACAAACATGACACCACATGGAAATTTTTGTCTGGTTTGGAAAACCAGGGTGATTTGCACACTTGTGACTGAATTATTGAAAAAGAAATCACCTGTAGATCCCTTAACACAGGTGTTTTAGGGTAATTTTGGAAGCACAAAGACCAGATCTGCACTGATGGTCTTCACAGAAGAGTTAACAATTGGCTGCAGTTGCTGATCCTTGCAGTGGAGTAGATTCCTTCTGCATTGGAAAATGCTCCCCTCAGTTGGATGTATGCATAAGGCAGATTAAGACTGTTTGCAGCAGGATGTATTCCAGTCTGCAAATATATTGTTTTAATTTAGTACATGATTTTTTATTCTCTGTTACTTTGGCGAATGCAATTTTAAATGGAAAACTGCTTCATGTGTATATCAGGTATATATTAATACACGTGAAGAGACTAAATTTGGAGCAGGACACTTCAGGGGGTTTATATACACACAGGTCCCACTTTATTTTCAAGGTAAAATTCCTTGTTCTGACAAGACTTCAGTTTATCTTTGTGCTTTAACTGTGTTTCTGGGAGGTGTGATGAAGCTGTGGTGAAGTGTGGGGTGTCACTCTGGAGCCCAGCACAAACAAAATGGGAAGAACCTGGGGTTCAAGTTGAAATTAAGCTTTTGTTTTGCATTTAGTCAGCCTCCAAAGGCTAAAAAGAAAATGATGATGAAGATGATCAGCCAGCTATCTGCATTACGAGGGCAATAGGGTCACACACGAGGTGGTTTTGACATGGGTCAAATCAAAAGTGTTCTGTAAAACTGTGCTATTCCACAAGTGTGTTAATTAACAACCTCCAGATGTACCAGGCTGTGTACCAAGATGGCAAAATGGCCTGGATTGTTGATATTTTCTAAGGCTCAAAGCTCCAAAGTGTGAGAGGCCTTTCAGTTTTTCTGGACCACAGCCCCAGAATGTCGTGTGTAACCAAAACGTAGGATGGAAGAGCCCGTGGTCTTGTGTGAGATCTTGTTCCCAGCCTTGAGTGCTTCAGAGAGCCAGTCTGGGGTGGCCTTGACCTGGGGTAAATCAGGAGCAGACCATCAGCTGTGTGGTGCTTGGCTGGGTGAGGCTTCAGGCATCTGCACTGAGCCCTCCTGGCGTCTCTGACCAGCCCCCCTGAGGCAGAGGCAAAGCGTAAGAAACAGGCTGATGTCGTAAAAAGCAGTTGTAAACAACTCATTTTCTTTCTTTTTTTTAACAGCTGCTAGTTGGCTGTAACTTCCAAAAATGTTTTGTGGTCACAGGGTAAGTGAAATGACCTGTTCTGATCCGGTTGGTTTTCACTGGCTGTACTAGTTCGTGATGGCCAAGGTGCTTGGGTTTTGCCTGGTGGAGGATAGCATTTGGGGTAATTCCTCCATGGAAAACAGGCACAGCCTCACCCCTTCCACAACACAAAAGCTTTGGGGCAGCAGTAGAGCTCTGTGTTTTAAACTCATGCTTTGAGCAAAGGTGACTCCCACCTGTCAGCAGAGTAGAACTGGTAGGGTGGAAGAAAAATCACTGGACAGGAAGAAAACAATAATAACAATAAAAAGCCATAGTTGAATGTGTAGCTTTTTGTGTAATTTAATTTATATCTGTGTCCTAAACTCCTGGGAGGAAAAAAATGGCCATATCATCTGCTACTCGGGCAGGAAGGCTGCATCCTCCCTTCCTGGGATCTCAGTCCATCCCTGGGATCAAAGCCCGCTCCCTCAGGATACCTTAATGACCAGCACATTCTTTACAGGAAATTCAGATGTCCAGCTTGGGTGAGCTGTCCCACTAAAGAGTTTTTCCTTGCCCCCTTGCAGGTTTCAGGTTGGTTGCCATGTACATCTCAGTGTATTCAGTGTAAGAGTTCTGGTGTTCTTAAGTCTCTTTTCTGAAGCCAGTTAAATAACTCTGCTTCTCCATCCAAGGATCATCCTCCCAATGGATACATGTTCTCATGTCCATCTCCTGCTGGGAGCTTGTTCAGCTGCACAGTTTGGGAGATGAAAAGTAAATGACACCTCTAATACAAACCCAACTGAGATCCTCCAAAAAAAAGCCAAAAAAAGGGGCAGGGAGTTAAACTCCAAATACACTGGGCTTGAAAGACACATAACCTAGATTTTAAAAGCAGATAAATATCAGTTAATTCATCTTAAAAATTAGGATAAAGAGTTTGGCTCCAAGAGTAAAACAGTAGAGTTATAGACATCAGTTGATGTATCAAATGTTTTGTCACCTGCTTTGTTCAGCTGCTGTTATATTGCAGTCTGGGCACAGGTGGCTTCCCAGAAATATTTTGTTGCCCTCAGTGAATTTATTATTATTTTATTTCCACAAAACTATAATAGTAAAATGTTGTACTCTTTTAATCTAAATAAAAAGCCACTGCAATATTATTTTGCTCAACTGCAGTGCTCAGTTGTTGCTCGTTCTTGCTTCAACCATAAAATCATCAGTACTTTCTGAAACTTGGGCAATAAAATGTCAGGGAAACCTTGTGATTAAAATCTAGTTCATAACCAAAAGATGAAAAGGGGATGTTTGCTGTTGATCATCACAAATTGTTTCCCAATGTCTGTAATAATCAGGTAGCTCTGTAATAACTGCTGCAACTTGAGTGACTTCCCAAATCCACCAAATTACCCTGAGCATGTTGCCTGTTGGTGCCATAATTAATGTGCAGCATTCATGGAGAATTCTGTGCATGGAGAGTGCTCTGGTGTGGTGGCTCTACAAGAGTTACAGCTGAGGCAAAGCTGAGGGTGTTCTCCTACGTATCAAGATTTACGATTCCCACTTGGAAAGGATGTTTTCTATGAGATGTAAAGGATATTTATGTAATTACTTAGTTTTGGCTTGCATGTGCTTGGCAGCAGTGACCCCTCACATACCTTCTGGAATCAAGTCAAGCTGGTTGAGGACATGAAACCTTGTCTTGAAAGATTTTTGATACTTAAACCTCTCTGTAGATTATCAAGGCATTTAGTGCAATGTATTAAGATGAATGATGGCACACTGTTGTTTTCCTTGCTCTTTAAATTCCTAGAAGGCAGGGATTTGCTGCAATTCCACTGAAGTCCTTACTGTGGCTCGGAAATTGCCTTTCCCATTTGTCTGGGAGACTGGCAGCCCTTCCAGTTAGTGAATCCTCCTGTGTAAACAGCGTTTGTGAAGGGTTTTATTTGGTGTGCATAACAAAAACCACTGTGGGCAAGTGACTGTTCCTTCTGAGCTTAAAGTGTAGCTGTTCTGGCTTTGGGCTGGTCCAGGGTAGTCAGGGTTTGGATGATAAAGCCCTTTTTTAAGTGAGGAAGGTGAAAAGGCACTGTGTGGTAGAATTGGGATGGACTCTAGGGAGTAAAATCCAGGTTCTTACTCTGCAGGGTGACCTTGGCAAGACTCATGGTTAGAGCAGGAACTCATGTGCATTGTGAGATGCTCAGCCAATACACCAGGAGCAGCTATTTAGATACCAAGCTGGAAGCACCACTTAAGTAACTGGAAGCTCCACCATCTCTGGTCAGACAGTACTGTAGAAATATTTGGGAGGCTTTTGTCCTGGCAAATATGATCAGCCAAATACCCCCATTTGTTGTGATCAGCCTGGAAACTGTTTATGTGGATGATACAATCAGAATAACAAATTATTCCTTCAGTAGGAAGTTGAAGATTCCAGATTGTTGACCCTAAATAGAAGGATTTATTGTGAAATGTGATCTGAGTATGCCCAAACTTGCATCCTTAAGGCAAATATTGCAAACCCCACAGAAAACAGATGACAAGTGAAATACACACAGATGATGCATTACTTTAAAAACAAACCAGGGTCTGAAATGCAGATTTGGGACCGAGGGATACCCTGACCCAAACTCAATGAGTTTCTGGGGTGCTTTCAGTCAGATTTTACTTACTGAGTACCTCGAGCTCAGGTGCCAGTTTTGAGTCTTTGTTTCCCACAAATCTGGAGCTAAAAGTTTTGAAACAAAATTTCCTGATCCCTGCCAAAACCTGAAAGGCAAAATGACTGCAGTGCCTCTTAGCAAGCTTTTGGCAAAAGAAAATAAAATTAAAAGAACGGAGATGTATTTTCTGGGTTTGCAGGTGGATGTTTGTCATAGTAGCCATCAGTCACATCATCTGAGGAAGGTGGAGCTGGCTGCTCTCAGGTTTATTTCTCTTACTAGCAATCTCTGTGGCAGTGTAACCTGTTAGACTTGGTAACTGTTCGTGCCAAGTGTTTTTATTTCTGGTAGTGTGGCAGCTTTTTCAGATAAAAATACTTATGTCACAGAATTTATGTCACAGAATTTAGCCTGTGAAAGTTCCATGGGCTTAGCTGAGAGTTAGTAGTAGATGGCTGCCTGATGCAGAATCCTCAAATCCCAGATTAAGGGGTGCCAAGGACAACCACTGAGCTTTTTGTCCCCTTTCAATTGGTCTTTTGGCTTTCTCAGTTGCAAAGGAATTTTCCCATTCCTTGCCCAGCTCAGTTTGAAATGGAGAATGTGGTTAATTCACATTCCTGAAGGGCAGTTAGCTTCTGCTCTGAGCTTCTTATTGCACTGAGGTAACGAGAAGTCCCATGAAACAAGACCAGGGTGACACTTCCCTCTAAAAATCCACCTCTTAGATAACAGGGAGTAAATCACAGATTAATTTTCCTGTATAAGCAGTAATTGCAATTTCAACTTGTCATTTTAGGGGATGTTTTGGAGCATTCTGAAAAATCTGAATGCCTGTTTTAAAAGTTTCTGGTCTAGATTTTTTTTTTTCAGTGATTTGCTGCTTCTCTGGTTTTAATATTTCACATTCCTGCTGCCATACTAATGTAACGGAGAGAGGGAACATGGTCCAGGCATTGGGATATTGCCAGCAGACCTTAAGAACCCTGTGAATGACCATGGGTGATAGTTGTCCTGTCTCCACCTTCTTTTCAGAGGTATAGTAGAGAGTAGCTCTTGTTTCCTCCATGGTTCAGGTGGGTGAGTCTTGAATAAATCTTTACCACAGGCCTTTTTTTATTCAGCTGTACTTTTTGGTGAGGTTGTTCCAGTTTCAGCCTGTAAAAGTTTCCTTTGGCAGTTCATAGAATCATGGAATGGTTTGGGTTGGAAGGGACCTTGCCTGGCAGGGGGGCTGCTGTTCCAGAAGGCTCCAAAGCACATCAGTAGAAATATCAATCCAAAAGGTGATGTTGGTCAGCCTGACTGCTTTGGTTTATCCAGGATATCCCTGACTGCCTTGCACAGAGTCCTCCTTACACCTGCTGTCACCTATTGAGGTGGAAGTGCTGCAAGGCTGTGGAAAATTAGGGATTGATGTCCTTCCAGTGAAGCCACGAGTCCGGTTAAACCGATACTGTTAGACTTTAAATGTTTAATCAAGGTTTTTTTGGGATGACTGTTCTAGAGCCAAGATATGCCTTTCTCAGGAATGTGTGCAAGTCTGAGAGCCCTGCCTGTCACACCAGCATGCCCAAATTGAAAATGAAAGATCAGCCCAGCTGCCCTTCTGTCACAGTGCCTCCCCTGTCAGACAGTGCCACAAATGTCCACTATAAGGATGACCAATATAAAATGAAACCGTGACTTTTTATTACACTCCATGTTCCTACTATTTCTGTGGAATACTGTCCTTTTTAACTGCTTTGGCTCATTCTGTGTCCTTGTGGTGGGTGTGGAGGAGCCAGTGCAGGCTCAGGGGTGGCCTTGGCCACTGTGCTCTCTGTGCAAGGCAAGGGGAAAGGTGAGTGTGGAGCAGGAACACTCAAAATGAAGGATATGGGGAAAGGTGTGGGGTTCAAAACACTTTCAATCAATGTGTTGTTCAGCTCTTGATATCAGCATTTCTGTACCTGTTTGGGTTTTGCTTGAGACCATTTCCAGAATCCTGTTGAAAGGGGCTGAAGGTGTGTGGGTCTGGGTGAGAAGCAGCTGGAAACTGAGGCCAGTAGAGAGGGAAACCAGGTGTCTGCAGAGTGGGAAAGGAGCATTAGGATAGCAGCAGTGTCCTGGTGGAGATGCTACTCCATGGTGGCTGGTTTCTCACCACTGGGCTGCTCCTGCTCACCTGCAAACACTTGGTGCATGGAGCCAACTGTTCACTGCAAGGGGTGGTGTCTTTAGAGGCTCTGGTAGCCTTTATTTTTCACCCCTGACAGTTGGAAACTTGATTTAGTTCAGGAAGAATCTCAGTCTTCCTTGGAAATGTTAGGAGCTGGAGGTTGAGGGCGGGAGTCACAGAACTGTGGTGGGTGACAGCGTGGCAGGTGTGTCATCACTGCTGCCCTGTGGAGTGGGTGCTGCTGTCCGGGTGTGGTGAGGGCAGTGGGATGTGCCTGGTGTCCAAAGGCTGCTCCATCCCAAAGGTGTAGCCTCGGGGCAGTCACCATCCCAATCAGGAAAATTGTGGTGGCGTTTTTTGCTGGCCTTTCTGCCAAGGGTTTCTCCTGGAGCTTTGTTCCGTTACAAAACCTGCCCGCTCCGTTTCGGGGAGGCACAGCCGCTCCCGGCGAAGCCTTGGCAGAGAGCAGGAGTGAGGCTGCACCGGGAACCATTCGTGCTAAAACCTGGGAGCTGTTGCTTTAAAAGGGAGAAAAAAAAAAAAAATCCTTTGTGGGCTGTGGAGAGAAAGTGCTAGAACTGTGCAGGATCATGACTGGAAAGCAGGATCCCTGAGTGGTCACGGAGGCTTTCCTGGTCCTCTCCAGCCTGCCGTGGATTTAGCCAGGATGCTCGTCCCCCACAGCAGATAGCAAACAAGGGACAAAGAAACCCTATTGAGGACAGACCGCTCGGCGAAGGGAATGAGGCAGGATGTTGCTCTTGTGTTAAAAGGGAACATCATCTCCGTGCCTAGACATGGGAATCACGTTTTCACCAGGATCGCTGGGTTGCAGTGCTTGAACCCGACCTTCCCGAGGACTCCGATCGCTCTGCGCCGCCTCACGCTCCCCAGCCGCTTTTTTTTTTTTCGCACATATGTAATACTGGAGGTTTAAAAAAAAAAAAAAAAAAAAAAAGAAAAAAAAAAAAAAAGAGAGAGAGAGAGAGAGGCAAGGCAGCCCGATCCAGGGATTCGGG